TTCGTTGTGAAAGCGAAACTACTTTGTTTGGTCTTCCAAAAATGGACACGACTAGAAATCAGTGGTTAAGTTGTATTTACAACACTGTTCCAGAACACTTCAACCCAAATATTCAGATGTGTGCAGCACATTTTATGGAGGACTGTTTCCTGATCCTGGGAGAGTAGACTACAATGCCGGCTGTTCTGACTCACAGACTGTAAGTAAGTTTTTCATATTTAAAGAGATTTTATATTTTATATATTTAAAGCAAGTTTTTTGGACAGTGTAGAGTAGCGTTTGTAGTTTTTCATTTCTAAATGCAGAAATGCAGACATAGTTTTATGTTTACGCGGCGCGATGCAACGCAACACGTAAAAAGACAGTATAAGTCATTTAATTATGTCCCGGCCTGACAGGGCATCATCACAGTATGGCAAGGGGCGTAACATTTCCGTCTCACGCTTGAGGTATTCGGCCAATCATAACACACTGGATAACTGGCCAATCACAGCACACCTCGCTTTTTTAGAACGAGGAGCTTTGTAAAGATCGACACGTTTCAGAAAGGCGGGGCATAGAGGAGAAACAATAATGTACAGTATGTGGAAAATAATGTTTTTTTTCCTTAAACCACATAAACACATTTCATTACACCAAATAATGTTCTTTTTAGCAACATCCTATGACCCCTTTAATTCGTGTTGCGTCGCTGTAGAAAGCACACAATGCAGGAGTAGAAATAAACAAGAAAGTCCTTTAATAAATCTACAGGCAGGAGAAATGCAGGAGATAAACTTAAATCAACATCACATCAATGATGTCAAAACTAAGGAGCTAGGGCAAAACACAGGGCTTAAATAACAGGAGAGGGCAATCAGGGAGAAACAGAAACAGGTGTGGAGTAATTAATCTAAAACCATGTCTGAGGTTAGAGGATCTTTTAAGTTTTTTGAGTTCCAGCTATATTTAAAGGATGGCTTAGTGCAAATAGCAGCAGATGTGATTTGTATCTCAGTGTGTTGTAGTATTATAAAAAAGCATGCAATAATAACAACAACATATTCTAGATAGGCAGAATTTAATAGTATTTTAGTTCAGAAACACCAAATAATGTTCTTTTTAGCAACATCCTATGACCCCTTTAATTCGTGTTGCGTCGCTGTAGAAAGCACACAATGCAGGAGTAGAAATAAACAAGAAAGTCCTTTAATAAATCTACAGGCAGGAGAAATGCAGGAGATAAACTTAAATCAACATCACATCAATGATGTCAAAACTAAGGAGCTAGGGCAAAACACAGGGCTTAAATAACAGGAGAGGGCAATCAGGGAGAAACAGAAACAGGTGTGGAGTAATTAATCTAAAACCATGTCTGAGGTTAGAGGATCTTTTAAGTTTTTTGAGTTCCAGCTATATTTAAAGGATGGCTTAGTGCAAATAGCAGCAGATGTTATTTGTATCTCAGTGTGTTGTAGTATTATAAAAAAGCATGCAATAATAACAACAACATATTCTAGATAGGTAGAATTTAATAGTATTTTAGTTCAGAAACCTGAAATGAATAAGACTTGAACCCTTGAAGCACCTTTGGCAACAGTAGAGCAGTTTTATCATTGTCAGCATGTGTGTGTGTGTGTGTGTTTTGTGAGGTGCATGTGTGCTCCATGCCAAAATAAGGAGAGCATAAAGCTCCGCCTGAGACCAACACATGATCTCTGTAAAGGAAAAATCACGTCTCTCTTTAGCGCTCCACTACATTAATCACAGCAGAGCTACACGTCTGATTGTGCCGTTTGTTTCCTCACCGTGGCAACAGCAGGGCCGGGCTCAGTCTTGGCTCACTGATGTACAGAGAATGAGCAATATTTACAACGACCTCCACAGCTAATGTGTCGTCAAAGGTCAAATATGAGCACATACACACACAGGAAACACTTTGTCATCATTCCCTGCTTTCATATGTGTGTGTGTGTGTGTGTTCTTGTGCTGCAATGACGTGAAGCTCTACTTACGGTCAGAGCTGAAGTCGTCCACAAGAATAATTTCCTGTATCAAGTGAGGAGGACTTCTCATCAGTACACTGAAACAAAAACAACAGAGATAAATGCACTTTAATAAAGCTAAGGTTTACCTACAACAGATTTATTAAGTGAAGAGAATGTGTGGTAATGTAAGAAATACTGCTGCTGCTCATTTAACATATATATGAATAACCCCCATATCTAGCATACATGAATCCTCGTAGCCGATCTATACAGGTGGAGCTGGGGAAGGTGGAGGGTTTCTGAAGCAAACTGCAAGCACTAGTCATATATTTGAATGTTGAGCAGCAAGCTCATTGGCTGCGGAAGCAAAAAGAACCAATCAGCTGCACCATGTGATGACGTCATTATGTCAGATTGAGTTAGACCCATCGGACTGCGCCATCTAGAGTTTCTTAACAGAACTTTGGATATATTTTTAAGATTTGAAGTACACTACAAGTGCACATTGTCAACAATTTAGTGCAGTTTATTTTCACAAAGGACCTTGACAATCACATAGTAACACTTTGGAAACAGACAACAGAATTGTGGAAGCACTACTTGTATTTTCTAGAGAAAATGGTTTTAACTCTTTCATGTTGTTGCATGACCTGTTTTAGATTTAAACACAGATTTACTGCAACTTAATGTCAAAGTTTCAGTTTGAAACTTCATGACGTCCTCAACACATTTGATTTGAACATGGCAATGTAAAATACACTCTCACCACACTAGGGCTGTCAAAATTGTTTTCGAATATTCGTTGAATTTAAAATAAAAATCCACATGCAGAAACATTGCATTCGAATTTTAGGTGTGCGTTAAGGAGGCAGCCTTAGCAGTGGCGCACGAGATGCGATAACGATGTAAGTGTCGTTGCATTATAATGTTTTTGTTAGCCTATCCAGTTGAAACCACTGCTGCTTTGTTCATTCAAAATATTGTGGAAAAAGAGAACATCAATGCGGAGAAGATCTTGTTTACATCAAAACTGAAACCAAGCCGTTCACACAGAATGCATATTTCACGCATTTTCTAGAGGGACATCTATCACTGTTACACTTGCGTCTCGCACAAGAGAGTCGCATGTTTAGAAAGCCATGTAAAATTAATGTAAGTTCAACTTTGAAAAAAACATATATTGAGACTTTATGGTGGGTTTTTAAATGAAAAATGTACTCTGTGTGATTGGCTTTCCGTCCTTTGTATTAAAGGGCTCATATGACATTGCTAAAAAGAACATTATTTTGTGTATTTGATGTAATGCAATGTGTTTATGCAGTTTAAGTAAAAAAAAAACACATTATTTTCCACATACTGTACATTATTGTTTCTCCTCTATGCCCCGCCTTTCTGAAACGCGTCGATTTTTACAAAGCTCATCGGTCTGAAAAGCGAGGTGTGCTCTGATTGGCCAGCTATTCAGTGCATTGTGATTGGCCGAATACCTCAAGCGTGTGACGGAAATGTTACGCGCCTTACCATATTGTGATGCCGTGTCCCGGAGCGACAAGACAAAAACATTGTAAACGAGGCATTTGTTGCATCCAGTGGGGACATAATTACGGATTATAATGACTTATACTGTCTTTTTTATGCGTTGCGTTGCATCGCGCTGCGTAAACATAAAACCAT